AGTACTATTTTAGGAAAAGTCAGAGTTCTGACTTGGAGTCCATTTAAATTGGTCGATTTTTTTTTCTTCTAAACAACAGTGTTTACTAAGAAAAGATTTCTCATTCTTGTGATCCCTTTTACTGGGAAGTGTTCATGAGCACAAGTCTTGATTACAGTTGCCTTAAAGACCAGTTTTGAAATGTCTTCCTTTACTTGAGCAATACATTGGTTGCCTAATCATACCATCCAACTGAAAACAAGAGGAAAGAAGAGTCAACTTAACCTAACCCAGAGAGGGAACATGTTTCCTGGGTTGAGAATGTGTCAAAGACAGCATAGCATGTCCTGACTCCCCTGTGTAATCAGGGCTGTATCATGTGTTGTGGGTAAATTATCTATTTTGTAAGTTAGGCCAAAGTGTGCTCCTTCAACTAACTGTGAAAGTATTCTTGAAAGCCCATGAAACCTTATTATTCTAATTACCAACACAAAGGGTTGATAAATGAATTATGAGGCCAGGTATTATTGCCATTAAATAGATCTCACTCAATTATTTATCCCTGGGTCTGGGGTTACAGTGCAGGGAGCTGTGCATACTGTACCAGGGCTGGCTTGAGCTCCAAGACCTGGAGACTGGATTATAGACTTGGCAGGCAGCTTTTGTTGAATGCAATTCAAGGGAATGACACACATTTTTCAGTCAGACATTTGGATGGTTTGAAGCCAATGGATATTCAAAGTTTATCCACAAAATCTTATTTATTTTATCCGTGCAAAAAAAAAAAAACTCTTTAAATTATCCAGATATGTACACATGGGTAGGAAGTTGAATTACCTATAGGAAAAACACAGATGTTTTCTTGCTTTTTAGTTTTCAAAGACTGTGCTCTTTATTTTCTTGGATTCTGATATCTGTAATGGGCACATTAGTGTGATAAGCATCAGTCTGTGCTCATCTCCATATTGGATAGTTTCTTTTTGTATCTTATTTCTAATAGCACAATGAAAGATGTCTTCTGGTTAAGAAATCTGTTAGTGGAGAGGATGGGATTGGAAGCTACTAGTTTTTTTTTTTTTTCTTTTTTCCTGAAATCATGCAACTCATTGCAAAGGTTAGCCTGGAAAATAGTGTTAAGAGATGTTCTCTCACTGAGTCACCAATTTCTTCCCATCCAATGTCCCTTCTTCTAGGCCAGCAAGCTGCAAAAGTGCTTCCTTATGTCCCAAGAGCATCCTATTAGGAGGTTCAAGAATCTGTTCTTGCTAAAAAAATTATTCTCTGCCCACCCTTGTAACCCCTAGCTTTATTTTAACATCATCCCCTAGACTTCTGATGAGTTGAGTCCTCTACTTATTTTGGCAAGAGTGGGCAATGGGAAACAGAAGAAGCTACAATGACTTTTCAGGGATCCTTCTGGTATGAAACTTGGAGGAGGTATTTTGGAGGATGGAGGAGGTGGGACATTAGGGAAGAGAAGAAATTTCTACGTGAGACTACATGGAGTTGAGTCAGGTCCAGGTTTTTATCTGAAAATCAATGTCAGAATCTGTATGTTGAGGGTGGGGTGGGGTTGTATTTGGGAGAGAAATATGAAACTATGCCTAGCATCAGGAAAAATTTGTCGGTTGAAGAAACAAATGATAAAACCTTGTTTAGATTGTTCCAAGGAAAATTATATTTATAATAACTGACAAAAGCCTTATGAGTGCCATATAAAGAGGTTCCTATATTATTAGATGGATTTATGATTAATTTTGTGGTGATTTTAATTTGGTTATAACCCCGACTTCCCTCTCTCTCTCTCTTAAATCTTGCTAGTTTAATGATCCTATAGCATAATCATCAGTTCATAAAATTAAAAAATCTTGTCAGAAATATAAAGTAGAATAGCTATTTCTTTACATTTATGGCTGTTCAGAGCAGTCATGTTTTCTAATTGGCCACTCATCTAGCAAGCGATGTAACTCTAAAAAACCAAACTGAGCGTCTTTTAAATTATCTGCTAAGGATCTAGAGTAGCAAATATGCCCATAACGTAGGCAATTTACATTTGAAAAACAAATTTTGATTTTACTACGAGGAAGAATGTTTGATTCTCTATTTCTATGTGTTTATTAGAATAGAGTGATGTGATGATTCCTATGTATACTTGGTTGTAGGAATTGCAACATTCTTGATGCCAAATAATTGAATTATGGCCAGTTCCGCTATGACACCATGTATGGGTTCCTAAAACCCACCACACTGTGCAAAATAGGGCAATGAAAACCACAGGGCTTATAGGAAAACTGGGGCTAGGGGAATAATACTCAGAAATATCATCAATGACACATTGACAAAGATGGATATAAAATGGTGGCAACATTTTACACAAAATTTGCGTTATGCTTAAATTGTTCTGTAATGCATCAGTCATGTTAAAACAGATTTTCAGTTCTGAAACAACTGTTACAGGAGAATCCACTGTGTAATAATCCCTCCAACACTTTCACACTTATGATGGCACCCTCTTGCTACCACTGGGCAAGCAGGGAAGCCATTCCTCACCCTCTAGTTTGTTTGTTGAGGACTCTTGACCTGCTAAAGGCCACAAAGTAACCGAGGGAAACTGCAGATCATGCTCACATGTGTGTGAGTCCTGGGCACGTGTGCCTTCCTCTGAGAAACAGGACCCTCCTGAACATGTGTACAGAGAGGGTCAAAAGCGCGGGCAAAGTCATAGAGACAAATGACAGAGGCGGGGTTAGAACTCAAGTTAGAGTCGACTTTAGTTTAGTTCAACATTTTATAAATGTTTGTGAGGTGCCATGCTCACTCCTGCCATATCATCTCTAGAACATATTGTTAATGCTTAAATGGGATATGTTTTCTTGATTGCATGGATGGAGAAACCCAGCCATGAGACCTCAGCTTATACTTTTTGATAGGGCTTCATTAAACATTTTAGAATATGTAGAATGTTTTAGAAACCATTTTCAAATTAATCTTCATAGCTCAGAGGTCATGTCAAATGTCAGGGCATTTGACAACAAGGCCAGTCTAGTAACACTTCCCATTTTCCAGGGGTCTGCTCTAGGAAGTTTCTCTCTCCTTTTCTTTTCTTTTTTCTTTTCTTTTCTCTTCTCTTCTCTTTTCTTTTCTTTTAAGACTTTATTTATTTATTTGAGAGAGAGAGTGAGAGAGGGAGCACAAGAGAGGGGAGGGTGTCTCTGCTTCTCCCTCTGCTTCTCAGAGGGAGAAGCAGATCTCCCTCTGTGCTGGGAGCTGGACGCCGGGCTCGATCCTAGGACTCCGGGATCATGACCTGAGCCGAAGGCCAACACAACTGAATGAGCCACCCAAGGCCCCTTTCCCATTAAGTTTCTGAGAAGACTCATGTAAAAGGGTGCAATTCCAAAGTTTAGGAAGGACTTTGCTTTGGAGCATTAATTAATGTGGAAAATACAATTATTGGATGCTCCCCTGTCTATATGTATCTCAAGTTATGCCTCTTAGCTCCACTTCCAGAAGGTTTAAGTTTATTAAGCACCTCCACTGCTCAAAGTAGTGGTCAATGCTGTGATACAGCAGGGGATACAAAAGGAGAGGATACTGTCCCTGCCATCAGGGAACTCATCTGAGGGGTCTCTTTGATGACTGAAGAGAACCTACTCCATTGCACTTGTGTTTTTATGGCAGAATATGGGAGGGTACACAGGTGCAGGTGAGTAAGGAGGTGCCACTGTGGAGTCACTGGCTAAGTCAGCAGGTGGGTGTTGGGTTTTGATCACTGGGTATTATAAAATCATGAATTTAGCACTGTCACTAAGGAACAGTTTACCAAAAAAAAAAAAAACAAAAAACCTTGACTTCATTTTTTTCAAAATTTACTTTGTTTGTTAATAAGCTTATTTATAGTCATACGTTGAAGGGTCTTATCCTGTAAAATCACACATTCCAGGGGCCATCCAACTGACAATGTTGCGGCTGTGGAAAGGCAGTCCAGGTTTGGGTTCTTCTGGGTGATGCCCTCTATGGCCCCTAAAAGGTCAAGACAAGCCTGGGCCACCTCTCTTTTTAAAATTCTTTTCGCATGTCAAACACACAACAATAGCAAAATTGGCCAAAGTTACGAAATTGTAGTATATTTAACATTGACCATTCTGCTGAGTTGATGCTTTTCTACACACACACACGCAAAGACAGTACTGTGACAACTGTAATGTGTAACTATTTGGGAATAAGGTTAAAGTTTATATTTGAGGCCCTTTTGGAATGTAAAGCTAAAAGTATTTCTTTCCTTTCCCTTCTTCCCTCAACCCCATTTGCTGCACATAATATGACTCCTCTGTTCCAAGTCATAATTGGTTTTATGAGATTAAATACCAGGTCAATAAAGTATGTTCTATGTCAGTTTGTCCCAAACTCTTTGACTTACTTTTTTTAAAAGTAATCCTTAAAAAAGAAAGAAAAGAAAATATTTTAATTTAATTTTTTAAGATTTTATTTATTTATTTGACAGAAAGAGACACAGTGAGAAAGGGAACACAAGCAGGGGGAGTGGGAGTGGGGGAAAGCAGGCTTCCCGCGGAGCAGGGAGCCCGATGCGGCACTCGATCCCAGGACCCTGGGATCATGACCTGAGCTGAAGGCAGATGCTTAACGGAAAGGAAATATTTAAAAATAAACATTCTGACTGCCCGAATCTGAAGTCAACTTTGGATTCAATTTTATATGTGGTAAAAATGAAAAGAACTAGTATTCTCTATTTTGACACTTAGAACAAATTACTTGCTTTTTGATGACTCCAGCTGATTAATAATAATAAATGAGACTAAAATATCTTATTCTTCCTGGCCAGAATTAAAAAGCTTAAACATCTATTACAAGTCCTGAACTTGAAATAGAGCTTAAATTCATGTGCTAAGGGTCTAGAAGAAATAAGGCTGCAAACCTAATAAAATGAAATGTCCACTATCTCTATTCTATGATTCTTAACCTATCCCTCCCTTACCCCTTATTTTGTTTTATTTTCTCAGAGAAGCAAAAAAATTTGTGAGTGAAAATGAAGGAGCCCTTGGGAAAGGGAAAGGAAAGCAGTGGTTTGCATTTAAGATGATGATGGCCAAGGTAAGCATTTTCACAACTCAATTTGGTTGATGCCATGCATTCTCAATGGCACCCATATTGATTTAAGGAGGAGAAAATTGGTTCTGTTAGGGGAGAGGGAAAGCATCTTACATTTTCTATGTACAAAGCACGTATACACATAAAGTAAGTACACAGTATATCTATGGTATTAAAATTTGGGGCAGGGCATGATTCAGAAAACAAACAAACGAAAAGGCCCCAAAATACTCCTTAAAGGAGTTAAAATGAAAAATAAGTTGAGAAACATTGATTGATGGCAAAAGACTTACTTGTGTGATTTTCTCACCCCTAAATGGCAAAGACTGTGCCTCTCTCATTTTTATTCCCTGGTAGTGAAGGGGTTCTGGGTTAAAGTTTCTTTCTCAGAATGTCTACAAGCTTTTGGGCCATATAGCTCTTCTCTATCAGGAACATCAACTTATACATTGAATAGAACATGAGAAAAAAACCAAAAGATACACCAATATAAACACAGATTCTTGGAAAATATAGAAAAGAAATGAACATTTGTTTAGTATTTACTATACGCTAAACACTGAACTGAATCCTTCTATGAAGTTATCGTATTTAATTCTCAAAGCAAAGTAGGTATGTAAGGCATTATTGTCCCCTCTTTACAATTGTTACCCCACTTGTAAGCTAAATGCATTTCCATACAGATGGGGTTTTGTGAATAAAATTCACAAATCTTAAGTATGAAATAGAAAGATTTATGTTGTATATCATGGATTAATTTTGTCTGTTTTTATAATTTAAATGAATGGAACCATATAGTATTTATATTTTTGTTTCTGCCTTCTTTGATGCAATGTTATATTCATGAGATACATTCATGTTGTGGCAGCTCTAGTCCATTTTTATCAACGTGCTGTATTCCATCATATGAAGGTACCACAATTTATTAATCCATTCTCTTGTAGATGGACATTCGGGTTGTCTCTAGTTTGGGTCATCTTTTGAACTTCAGACTTGTCTCATACTCTTATTTGGGCCCTACATGCCTGTCCATCTCACACGTGATCCCAGCATAATGTGCACTTACGCAAAGTTATTTGCCCCATTCCCATTCTTCCATGTGGTCCCCGTGGTCCACTTGACCATGGATGGCCCAACATTGTGGACTAAAATGGAAGGAAGGTCTTTTATAAAAACTAATGTGTGATTCTTTTTCTTCCTCCCTTTTCTATGACACCGTGACTTTCCATTTAATTAGCTGCTTCACTTGTACCAGAATAAAAAGTGTCCTATGTCATCACACTTACCATCCTGTATTGAAGTTACTTGTTTATGTTCAGCTTACTCTAGTAGAGTAAGAAGCTCTTCAAGGCAGGAGCTATGTTTTATTCATATCTCATCAATTTCTTCATGCAATGAGTATTTAATGAAACACATACAATTTTCCAATCGCCTAATATCAGGGGCCAACTCAGTCCCTGCTCCCTTATTGTCTGTCAGAATACACAGATCTGTCTCAGCCTGTTTTCTATAAAACAGGGGATCAATAAAAGTTTTTTTTAATTGAATTGGTGTGGAGGTGGGTGGGGAACAGGGAGGCAAGTAAAACCTACTCTTTTCCTCTTTTTACAAAAAGCCTTACGTGGCACCAGAGAGATCTTTCCAAGCTCATTGTCTTGTGATATTTTGTGATGGGGATGAAGGATAAACCTCTTGGCAAACAAGAGGCTGAGTTTTACTGTTGTATTTGTCTTTCTTTTCAGAAATGGGCAAAATTTCTTCGTGATTTTGAAAACTTCAAAGCCGCCTGCATCCCATGGGAAAATAAAATCAAGGCAATTGAAAGTAAGTGCTCATGAGATCTCATTAGATGGGAAGGTTGTTTCATAAGCTTATGAGATGCCTTTCTCAGTTTCTATACTATTGGAAAGATTAAAAACAAGAAAACAAACAAACAAAAATAACCATTTTTTACATTCTCTTTGTACTGTGAAAATTTGCGAGCACTTACCAATCACAGCACTGGGAGACCCCACTCTCCCTTCCTATGTTAGACCAGAATATTCTCATTCTGACCTTTTCTGTCCTATACAAGTCAGTCAATATTGCGCCAATGACACTGAGTCATATATATCACTGGGAAAACAGCGATTTTATATTGGCAATAAATATGACATTGAAAATATATTCTTATGAGAGTTAGACAATAATCAAAATGAACAATGTCTAAAAAGAATGAAGAAATCTTAAAGCCTTATTTTCAAATCTGAAGTAGAATTAGTAATCATCATCCAGGAACTTGCTATGTGAATATTATATTGTGCCTTCATTTGATACAGTATTCCTAGGTTACAGAGAAGTCAGGAGAATATACGCAATCAAAAGCCTATTTAGAACAGTGCTCTAGGCTTAGAATAAGGCAAGTAAAAATTTTAAAATATTGTAAATGTAATAAATAATGTTTTAAAAATATATAAAGAATGTAATAATAATAAGGAATGTAAAGAAAAAGGGATAATATTTCAAACATTTCTGAGCACAATCTTGCCATATTTTGGTTTCTAGGAGTTTTGACTAGGATCTGATTTTCCTCCCTGACTTTTCAGATCGAGAGGCAGGTTTTCCTGCTGCTTAAATGTGGCGTTGCCTGATTAAAATGGAGGCTCCATAGGGAGATAACACGGTTGATGGATATTTCACGGACATGATTGGGCATGTTTTAGGAGTGCCTACCCTCAGTCCTCTGTCTCTCATTATCAAGTGGCAATGAATTAAAAATACATCAGCTAATTAATTGCACTTCCTCCCACAGATTCCTGTACCACCCCGTCATTGCTTTATTTTCCTCCTTAACACTTGTTATCTAAAATACTGTATTTTTAATTTAGTTTTTAAACGTAATTTCATTTCATTTTATTTTGTGTTTATTTCTTCCAGTAGACTACGAAAGCAGAGGTTTGGTTTGGTGTACTCCTGGATCACCAGACCTAGAGTTTGCTTGACCTTAATAAATACGCCTCGAATAAAATTAAAGAGTAGACGTTCTTCAAATGTCTACCATTCTAGGAAATGCGCAAAGGAATTTAGACCCACCAGAAAAGAACAGACACCATGGAATACTTAAGTTTCAAGTGTACGGCACAAATGTGGTACCTTGAGAGGCATTGAGGAGCAGAAAGCCATTTGGAACATTAAGGTCTTGATACAATTTGTGTAAAAATAACTGCATTTGGTTCTTGCTTTGCGGCCGATTTGCTGTTCAACTCTGAGGCAGTCATTTAATCCCTCTGGGCCTCAGTCTATTCATCTATGAGATGATAGGGTTGAATCTTGATCGGTCTTGAGATGTAGCCCAAGAAATTTGTAATAATGAGAGTTAAAATGTACATTTGCAATTATTTATTTGGAAGGTCCACTAGGTTCTAGCAGGTTCTAGCTTGTCTCAATAATAATGTCCTGCCCACTTGTGTTGCAATAGCCTATCTTGAGTGGGATAGAAACACATGGAATTATTTTTCTTGCCAGGAATTTCACACAGGAATGAGTGACAATATAACCACCATCCAGCATGTGTGTTACTAGGGGAAAGATAGATCGAGAGCCCCTCAATTATACTTTTAGTTATCTTCCTTCCTCCCCTCATCCTCCAGGAAATTTGTAACAGTCAGTTGGGTAATTCCAGCAGATGCCGGTTATTTTCTCTTCCATATGCAATTTCAGGTTTGATTAGGTTGTCCTGATTTCTCCACCTTTCATGGTGCTTTGCCTCACTGTGAAGAACTGATCCTTATTTTCTATTCCATCAACAGTCGCCACAACCACCACTCTTTGGGTGTCACTCAGATACCCTACAAACACTTCATATAATCTCAAATGTGCCTGCAATGTGCCCATTAGCCTTCCTATTTTCAAGTTGCGGTTAAATAAAGGTCCCAGAATTAGTTACCAGAGGAGCTGAGATGTCAGGTGAAGTCTCTCTGGGTCCACAGCTTGTGGTTTTTCTCAATGTGGCTTGCTCATTTGTTACTTGAAGGAAAATTTTATAAACTCTTTCTTTTGCATCAGGTCCCAGAGTGGATTTGACCAGAGCAATGGCAGGATGAGCAGTTAGAGATTTTCTTGATCATTATCCAATTTGGACAATTGTGTCCCATTTTCTCATGTGTTTATTTTTGAATGAGTTCTTTATTTAATTACATACTTAAGCTTCTCTAAGGTACTTAATGCATTATGATCTTAATGATAATCATCAGTACACCATATGCTTTTGGGCGATTGTAGTAGTTGAAGAGTAGGAAGCCTCTCTAAAAGTGTATTAGTAAAGTCATTGGGTCCGACCAACCATCTCATAGAAAGTACCCTACCAAAGATGGGGGAGCATGTATCTGTGATGGTCTTTGAAACTTAACTAAATGGAAATTGGAAAAGAAATGGGACATGGAATGAGTTTTCTAAAGGTTGAGGTCCTTTTACCCCTGACCAGCTCTATAGTATAGCTAATCCTTCAATATCTGGGGCCCTCTGTTTCCACATTTGGGGTTTTACTGGTTCCTATACAAGGCAATTTCCAACCCAACATTCTATGATTTATAAGTTACAATCAGTTTGAGATTTATATGTAAGCAGATGAAGCTCTTTATACTTTTGAGTGATAAATAATTGAAACAGTTAAATGAAAAATAGACTTACAGCAAGAGAGGCCTGCATAATTTACCTTCTATGCCAGTTCTTCTTAGAAAAAAGCAGATTAAACATGTACCCTATTTATAAAATACATATTTCATATTTTAAAATAATACCAAGTCTTTTCTCTTACAGAAATGACCACTTAATCTTACAGAATTTTCAGAAATATTATTGTATTCCTTTTGAAAGTCAGAATAATCTAACATGTAATACCTCATTTAATCTTCAAAATAAACTTGACTGGACTGATTAATTGAGCAAATACTCACTGAGTATTTGCCTGCTATTATTAGGCCTGTTTTCCAGGCACTGGGCATGCAATGCTGACAAAGACAGGCGAGGCTTGATCTTACATCCAATTGTGTTAATAAGCATGTGGGTGGGGAAGACAGGGCATAAAATATAAGCAATTAAATCATGAAGAAAGTTCAGATTGTGGTCAGAGGCATGTTTAAAACAGGAGCAGCTAAGCTCCATTCCAAAGTCTTTCTAATCCATTTGCCCTCATTCTCTGCTCAATCTCTAGATAATACTGAGCAAGTATTTTTGTAAGTGTGGTTTTAAAGAAGTCCCGAATTACCAGCCTTCTCTGAGTTTCCATAAAGCTCTAATAATTGGCAAAATCGAGAGGGGAACTTAAATCAAGTCTAAAATTCATGCTGTTTCCCACCTTGATTCCAGTAAGGCCTGGATCCCTTTGCTAGTGTGGACCAGGTACTCACTTGAGGACTCCCCAATTTTTTTTTCACATCAAAAATAGATTTGATCATTCCTGCCGCAAAAGGATGCTGTGGAGTTCTACATCACGTGGGGATGCTGTGGAATTTTACTGTCATGCCAGCCCTGTGAAGAGGCCATGCTAAAAACCCCAGGATTACCCACAAGGAGGAACTTTATTAACTCCCTTTCATTACGTATTTTGCTGAAAAAGCTGTGTATTTGTACTCCCAGGAAATATCATCTATATCCATTGTGACTCCAGAATTATTATCAAAACCATGGATTAAATTATGGAATGTCCTTCAAGCTGGAGATTACAAGTCTTTCTCAGAACTGAAATCTATTTCTTCCTAATAATAAAGTATGGCATCAAAATAGGTGTGAGAGAACTATTTTTCAGACCAGAAAGATCTGCAGATAGACAACCCTAAGAACAGAGTTTAAACCCCATGTTTCTCTACTGGCCTAAGAGCTGCAGAAAATGCAAATCAAATTTGCCACATTTAATTCCCCTAGACCAGTTTGAAAGCAGCTATGCTTCATGTCCTAGCCAACAAGATGGTATTTACACTGTGCTCATACAGCAGGTGATTTAATTGGTCTTTTCCCACTTAGAAATGCTCATATTTGTCTGCCTGTCTTATTACCTATCTGTTAAAGAGGAAATTATACATGATGATAGACTACAAATTACTTTGCCTTAATAATAAATAACCAGACGGAGAGGTGAAACTTTAACCTTAATTTAAAAGAAATGCAAGAAAATTCAGCAACAAGAATATTGCATAAGCTTAAAAGGCCTCACTTGAATAGGTAGCAAGGACTCTGTTTTACTGTATTAATAATTCATTATGGAAACAGAATTTATTAGTCAGATTAAAGAAAAAAAGAATTGGTCATTTCTGGGCACCAGCCCAATTTATGAATGTGAATGGCCTTAGCTGATTGGTGGATAATGCCTATGTTTTTTCAGACATACACATTCATGGCTTATTTATTCCATATACTATAGTTGTTTTTTTTAAATAGTGTAATTATGATTCTACTTGGGTAGCAATATAGCACTGTGGTTAAGAGAGATCTGGATTTGAAGTCACACCTACAGATCAAGGCTGCCTAGTTTAGAACTCTGGCTCCATCATTTTCTACCTATTCCTACATAACTCCCTATGTAACCCTGGTTCCATCATTTACTAGTTGTATAACCCGTGGTCCTAAGTCTCTGTAAAGTGAGAGTATAGGAATTCTCTTCTTGCAGGAATTCCATGATGACTAAAGGAATTAATACACAAGATCAAAATAGGTGTCTGAAACAAAATTCATTAAATGTTAGCTATTGCTATTATTAATCAAGTCTTGGTTCAGTCAAATGCTGTGTTTAGGTTTTTGGTCCCCATCCACAGTGGGACTAATAACACTTAACCTTATCGGGTTCCAAAAGCAATAAAATGAGTGTTGTTGGCGAAGTTCACGGTGTGCATAATTGACCAGCAAGATATGTCAGCTATTATTATTACTACGACTACTGCTTCTCCTCCTTGGTCCTGTTCTTTACAAGAGTGAAACAGTTTTATCTAAGAGCCCAAGCACATAGAATGACTGTTCTTTTTAATTACGATCTCTTAGCTACACTTTAGGAAGGTTTCTCTTTTCAGTCAGTGCCAGATTTAGCCACCTGCCACTGATCCGATAGAACCACTAGGATACATGGATGTGAAGAGGGTAGAGTTCTCCTTTTTTATTTGTTTTATTTCATTTTTTTATGTTATTTTTATTATTTGTGTTGAGACAGGGAAAGGTCCTGTGGAGCTTGGATGCCAACCAGTTGATTTGTGTTCTTTCCTTTACAATCTTTTATTTTGTTACTGTCCTCTGCCCTCTGCCATTGGTAGGTGTTCTGTAGAAGGAACAATGTCTTCTGGATTTCTTGGTCTCTTTGACCTGTGTCTGGGTCTTTTGTACAATCACTAATTTTAGTGAAATCTGTTCTCCTGAAATTCATTTCCTTTAGACTTAGGATTCTATAAAAAAAAAAAAAAAAAAGAAAGAAAGAAAGAAAGAAAGAAAGAAAGGTGGGGGTTGCATAATGGTTACTTCTCTACTTCCAATAAAATAGTTATGAAAAGATACAGCCTGAAAGCTTTGGAGTCTAAAATATATATTTCATCCATAATGAATATGGATTATGTATGGGGGAGGGGATACTTTCTGAAACATTATAATTTGCTCCTCTTTTTTGCCTTTAGGTATATTTACACTCTGTACTCAATTTAAGAAATTCATTTGCGAGGGTTTGTGTATGGGGGCTGAGAGAAGATGGGCTGTGGGTGCTAATGAGAAGAGCAAAACTGTAAGAAGGAAGGTCGGAAAGGAAAGAAGGAAGGAAGGGAGGGAGGGATGGGGAAGGAAGAAAGGATGAGTCAGCATCCGGTGCTTGGGACTCTATACCAGAAGATCTCCTGTGTGTTTCAGGGAAAAGCTTGCTCCAGGTACCTAGGGACAAAGTTCCTTCTCCAGTTAATGAGCACCTGTAAAGACTAGCAAGCAGGAAGTCTACTGCCTTCAATAAAACATGACAGGTGAACCTGGCTGAGACAGGCCTTGCGCAGTTGCTACCAGAGAACATAGATAACAGCCATGAAATGATCTGAAATCGCTGGGAGCCAGGTGGGTGATCAGATGTCCCGGGAGGGGCAGATCTGCCTAGCCTTTCTGCAGATGGACCCGTGCATCTGGTTACCGCACCTGTGGGCATGTTCATCAAAACCACACCCTTTTAGAAATCCAGTAGAACTCTGCCTTTCTCTGCAAAGTGAAATGAATCCAAATATTCAGACTTGAAAATAATTGATTGTTTTTTAAATGTCCGTTTAGACGCTGACTTTTTTTTTAAAGTTTCTATAAAAATTGTCACTGTGTTATGGGAAGAGGCAAGGTGGCTCCTAACGAATAGACTTAAGTTTCAGGAACGGAAGCATGACTTGTGTGATCTCAGCCTCATCTTACTAAGCAGAGACTGGAATTTGCTTCACCCGAACCTCCTTCTTTGTACAATGTTTCCTTACCGGTGATGCTGCAAAGCCAGAGGGCCAAGAAAGCCGTTGGTCCCTGGAGGTATTTTGCTGAAGGAGTCAGGAAAAAGGGCCTGATGTGGTGGGTGGCTGCGGATGTTTATCATTTCTTCTTGGACAGCTGCAAAGGGGAACTGGGAATTGGGAAGAAAACTTGCACCTTGGTGTTGAACTTTAAGTGATAATCAAAGAAAGTTGGGCTTTTGTTAATCAATGAAATCTCAACCTGAGACTCCAAATTCCTGGTCTTTCTTCCTCTTCCATTCTCTGATTTAAGATAATGTGTTTTTTCGTTTTGCTTTTTAAAGATTTTATTTATTTATTTGACAGAGAGAGACACAGCGAGAGAGGGAACACAAGCAGGGGGAGTGGGAGAGGGAGAAGCAGGCCTCCCGCTGAGCAGGGAGCCCGACATGGGGCTCGACTGAGCCACCCAGGCACCCCTGTTTTGTTTTGTTTTTTTAATTTTTTTTCTCAATAAATATGATTTGGACAGATCATTTTCCACTGGGGCACGTGCATGTTGATGGCACATTCTTGCCTGTCCCCTCCCAATTTGTTTTCCAAAGCTGAAGAGACCTTAAGGGTCACAGTCTACTTCCCATCCCGCCCCCGCCCCCAATCCTGCTGCTTAACACCTGTTGGCGACTTTCTCAACACATTTAAAATAAAAGTCTCACTTTTTACCTGTCTTTAGGAGGCCCTACACAGTGTGGTTTGGCTTGTCTCTTCATCCCTCATCTGTCACCGCTTTCCCTTGTTCACTGAGCTCCAACCACATAGTCCTTCGGTTGGTTCCTCAATTGTCCTGAGCTCTCACCTGCCTCCAGATACTTGTTTTCGCTCTTTCCTCCGCTTGAGCTGCTCTTCCCCAGCCTGAGCGTTCGCTGCCTCTTCCTCCAACTTCAGACCTCTGCTCGACTGTTACCCTCTCTGATACACCTTCCTCAACGAGCTTATCGAAAGCAACCTTCTCAGTATTTTACCTTCTTCTCTCTAGGACCTATCTGGTATATATAATTGTTATATCTATATCTATATCTATATCTATAGTTGTTATAATTATATATACAATTACATATTATATCATGTATAATTGTTATAATAATGTAATCATGTGTGATTTTATATATCATATATAATACATACATATCATATATATGCTATATGCACATAGGATATACCATACGTAATACACAGGTATTAAACAGTGTATTTGAATCTACATATACATATTACATATATATGTGTATATATACAATATATAATGTGACACATACTGTACATACATATAATATGCTATATAATAGCATATAGCTCATACATTATGATAAATACATATATTTTATTTATTTATTTTTAAAATTCCTGCCTCTCTGTTGTTTCCATACGTCACTAAAACGTAAGCTGTATTAGGGCAGCAACCCTGTCTGTGACATTGTGTTTCACAACTAAGGTAATTCCTGAGGGAAGATACTTGAAATATGTGAGGAGCGAGTGAATGAACTTCAGCTTCTGCGCTATACCTAAAAAATGCCAGTGAGGCAGGCAAATAGCACAGGAGGGTCTGCAGGCTAGCTGTCCCTGAAGGATGTGGGAAAGGCTTTTGAGAAAGGCATTGTTGCCTGAGAGAAAGGAGGCAGAAGTGCAGTGATTATAATGGTAACGGTAGCTAACGACTGGCAGATACTGTGGTAACCACTTTACAGGTATTTGCTCAACTTAATGTTATTAACTTATTAGCTCCGGGAATAAAATGGGCTTTCACCTAGCAACCCTAGCTGCTAAGCCCCAGGCAGCTCTCTCGGATGGGCTCTAAAGGCGTAGGCCACAGTCATTCTGCACAACTGCATCTACATAGTAGAGAACACTTCCATTACCAATAACATTTTCTCTTCCTGGATAGAAATAGAATGCTGAAGACTGTCAATGTGGAAAGGACCAATGTGTTGCGATGAGCAGATTTATTTTTGAAAGCACCAAGACATAGCTTTTGTTTCGTTTGGTTCTGACCTGCCTTTCAACATTTTCATTTTCTTTTTGATAGGTCAGTTTGGCTCCTCCGTGGCCTCCTACTTCCTCTTCTTGAGATGGATGTATGGAGTAAACATGGTTCTCTTCATCCTGACATTCAGTCTCATCATGTTGCCAGAGGTAAGGATCTGACTTTCAGTTTACAAAAAACAAAACAAAACTAAAGCTGAAACAGGTTTCTCATGTGATCACTGTCCTAGAAAATTTCTTTTCTCTTCTGAAGAACAGCACGATTAACTGGCGATATCCACCCTTGGAGTCATAGCACTTGCAACAAGGTTAATCCTCAAAAGGGTGCCCGTGGGCCAAAGATCCTAATCCTTGCTCCAAAGGGCACATGAGCCTCCTGAAATCATATATAAAATGTCATGTGTATGTTTAAATATACATTTTTATGTGGAATGGTTCATGGCTTCTATCAGATTCCCAAGGTGGTCCCTGTGCTCAAATGTTAATTGCTCAAAAGGAAGGCTTTGACACCTTGTGAACTGTATTTATTTTGCCAAGTTTGCTTTGAAAGAAATGCTTCTTACTGCAACTCAGGACATTTAGCTTTTCTATCTGAAGAAACACAAAGTGAGCAATTTGTTTCCAGATGTAAAGTAAGGTAAACCAGACATCCCCCCCACCCACGCACATGTACACATACACAGTGGGGTGGGGTCTTTTAGGATCAAGGCCAGAGAGGAGAGGAAAGCAGATAGTGCTTCCGGATTGAAGAAGATGCCAAATCCCTGAGCTGATGGGTGGGGTGGGGCGGGGAGAGTCCATCAACTAAGGCCAAGAAGAAGCAAGACTGAGGTTAGAGCCTTTATCCACAAGAAGTTAAAGGACTCTGACCCTTGGATGCTTACTTATACAAAAGTCAGGTTAGGCTTTACTCAAGCTACAAAGGGTCTTTTCAGGTACCATTATTTCAAAGCCAATTTGTTCAGAACAGCATTGCCCACAGCCAAAACTAAGTGTTTTGAGGGACTTGTTATCCCCATGGTTTTGAATCAGAGCCAGTTTCTGTATCAAGCCTCCCCACGGGCATAATAATCTTAATAATTCCTTACATTCATGACAAGTTTTAGCTTTTAATAGTGCAAAAACACTTTCACTTCTTTTACTTACTGAGCCTCACAACAAATTTATGAGGTAGACTATAGAAGAGTTTTCTTTCCCCATTTAAAACTGTGGAAACAGAATTACGCATTGCTCGTTGGGCTTAACCGATATCTCAGGATGAGGTTTTTTTATGCTGTTCTGGGTCTGGGACCATGATTGTACCCTTCATCCCAAGATTTTGCAACCTAATCCATTAGTTTTATAATCCCTGAGATGATTCGGGAGGTTCTATGGCTATCTGGCTCCCAGGAGGCAGTGAATGCAGATCAGAAGTCCTGTATAGTTCATCTCTCAAGCGAAAACTTTCAGGCGATGAGGCAGAATGCATGTCATCAATTTCAAATTAACCCCAGCTTTCTTTTTGCTCATCTCTCTAAGGAACCCCAAAACTCCTTCACTGGCTATTATGATGCCCCTTAGTGTCAGACTCAGGGTCTCTGTGGAGTTCTATCAGCTGTGCTTTCTCGTCTCCCCACACCACGCAACCGCCATGGAAATGAAAGGTTGCGGCTGGACTTACTCCACCTATATGAAATTACAGAATGCCTGATAGAGAGTGCAGGGAGCCAATCTGTGCCTGATGGGATGTAGTCCTAGAATGAAGCAGCGTATTATCTTGGGATGCTTTCTTACAGGTTTGTGTTAGATGCTGAGGGGCATCCTGTTTTCTGGGCAATGGTGGCCAGCTCCAGCAAAAGAACAAAGGAGGATGTGTTAGCTTTACAGAGCCACCAGAGGCCAGGGCTGGCCCGCTCCTGGCAACAAGGCTCCACTTTCCTCTGCCTCCTCCCACCCAGCCTCGTTCAGCATTCCTCTGAAGCAGATGCCCTTTTCCCAAAGTTCCCATATCCCTGAGCAAGCGTGAGACCTTAATCTTCTTTGTCCTTTGTGGCCCCCAACTTTGGGGTGAGACAACATGGATAGGACCCACCTTCTGCTCTGTTCAGTCCTAGGAAGTCAAGAAGCTTCCATGAATCCCATGCCACTTGTATGGAGGGTAGGAGTAGGGGCTGACTTCCAGCCATTGTCCAGTCAAGCTTGGCACCCAGGCTTCCAGCCACATTCATCCTCCATCCCCAGCCCCAAGGAAGGAAAGTTTTCATGTTACATAAGAAGCAACATCTGCTTGGCAAGCCGTGTGCCTGCCCTGGTGCTTTTTCCAGTTCTCACCAAGACACCTGCTAGAGCCCTATTCATGTTGCCTCGCTGGCCGGCTCTGCCCCTAAAAACTCCTCTTTGAATCTGGTAGCGTAAGATCAGGGCAGCAAACCTGGATTAGTGGTAAAACAAATATAATCAGGGTACAATCTTTCCTCCTATTTGACATGCTCAAATTGTATGAGCGATTCACTTGAGTCTTCTCTTCCTTGACATGAAGGAGAGAATCTCCCTCCACCCCCACCCCTAAGAGGTAACCCCATATGAAGATGTGGGTAATATGGGTTTTGTTTTTTTTTTTTGAACACTATAGTTCCCCCAAAGGCCTCTTTTCTCCTCTCCAGACATCCCCCAAAAGAGACCAGTTTGGAGGTAGTGGTGGGTAGTGGGGCTTCTCAGCAAGCCTCTGGGCAATGTGGTTGGCCCAGCTGCTGGTGGTCCACTGAACTTAGCATGCAGGGTTCTTAGCACTCCCTTTGTTCTTCACTCTGGATTTAGTAGTCGATTCCCAGAAAATGGGACCCCCACTTGGAGACCCACAGAGTCGCCATGAAAATGTGTAAGAAGTGCTTTTAAACAAAACCATTTGTGATCACATGTGTGGCTCAGACTTTGTTTCCAATTATTAACTGCTTTCTTTACTTCTCTGTGTAGTACCTCTGGGGTTTGCCATATGGCAGTTTACCTAGGAAAACAGTTCCCAGAGCTGAAGAGGCATCTGCGGCAAACTTTGGTGTGTTGTACGACTTCAATGTAAGTGTCTCCCCACAGCTGTGTTGGTAGGAGGACAGATTTTTCCTTACTCTCTGAAACCCCATGGCCTCTTCCTCTGGGGCTGGTTGGAAGTCTTAAGAGATATATACATACCTCCTGCTAAAAAAAAATAGGAAATGAAGGAAGGAAGGAAAGGAGGGAGGTAAGGAGGAAGGAAGGAAGGAAGGAAGGAAGGAAGGAGGGAAGGAAGGAGAAAGGGAGGGAATGAGAGAGAGAAAAAAAGGAAAAGGATTGGCTTAAGAATATGATAACATAATTAAATGGGAATATAGACTACTGAATGAAGGTGAACTCAGCGATCAAAGGCTTGAAACAAATATCTTTATCTCTGGCTTTGGAAAAGAACAAAGGAAGAGTTTGCAAGTATGCTTTTTGAAAAATCTTGTAGGATTCTTAGGGAATTAGAGCTTTAACATTTCGTATTAACCTCTTTGTTTCCTAAACAAATCTATTTAGTATTCCTGAAGACTCAGTACTATTCAGTAATTATTCAATAAATAAAGCTAAATATTAAATACAAAACAGTCCTGGATTCTAACTTCTAAATAATACTAAAATGAGTACACTCAATTGTGGTACCCCTATGAGCATTACTCGACTGTAGTATGAGAATAGTATTACTCTTTGAGCTGCCCTGGGTGGGGACAGTTGTTATACCAGAGATGCATTTTTACCCATTGAAAAATCGTTTCGGAGTCTGATTCAAGACTGTGGCAACTACTCAGTTCCACACAGTCTTTTTAAAATAACGACCAGATCAGAGATGTTTGAAAGTGTAGAGGATTAGAAAGTAGCAAGGTAGACTTTGGGGAATTGATAATTCAAGGAATTTTGGGAGAGTAGTAAATGAGAATAAGATTTTATGTAGCCTGGGGAATAAAAGAAGGAGAGAAAAACTAATAAACACTCTTCACAGTCATAGTATTGATAGGTATATTTCATAGATGTTTGGAATTCTACCTTCAAACCCCCTAAATTGTGAGCTCCCTAAAGAGGGGATCATATCTGTTACATCTTCTTTGAAGCCCTTAGTTTGATATTCAACCAACAGAGGCTTAATGAATCTTATTGACTGACAATCCTGAGTAAGGGGAGGATTTGTAGAGCCTTGAGATAAGAGCTGTAGAAATTAATTTATGTGAGCAGTTCCAGGAAATGTAAACTTTAGGAAAGGTTCCCAGTCTCTGAGTAAGCAAGCCAAGCTAGAGAATAAGCATAAGGCATGGTGGCAGCGCCGATTTTGTGGCATTTGGAATCTCCAGTCATCCCTGTCAGTTCACTTTTCATTTCAATTCAACATTTATGTATTGAATATAAACACGTACTGGTTTTACAAAGATAAAGGTGACATGATCCTTGACTTCAAGGCACTCATGATAGTAGAAGATAGTCAGCTAGTATACCACATGCTATATGCTACACTAGCAAGATAGAAAAAAAGAAAAAGACACTGGGGATCCCTGAGTTAGTAGTTGTTAGTTTTGCCTGGGAAGGTCTAGGATTTATGAAGGATACAATCTCTGAGTTAGATTTTACTTGTCTTTTATTCCTCCTTTCTATTATCCCCCATCCATCTCTCTCTCTCTCCTGGCCCTTTCGCTAAATTTCAAATAATAATTTTTTACTATGCTCACCTGAAACTGCTTTTACATCTCACTCTCTTCTGATTAGCAAGATAATAAACTTCCAGTCTGGTTATCATTGGCATTTTCTGATGTTTGAGTCAAGCCAGAGAAAAGAAGAACTGAAAGTATGAACAAAAGGTTTTTAGATTTGTAAACATATATTTAACAAAGTTTAAGCACTTATAAATTTTTCAACTAACTGAAATAAAAAAGTTGGGGGAAAAAGTCCATTAGGGATTTGAAAGAGATTAATTAGCTGAGGAAAAAAAAAAAAAAGAGGAAGATGGCTCTGAGGGGCAAACCAGAGGCTCTAACAGGTGGGTACAGGAGGAAGCCAGGAGAGAGGGTTTGGGCAATAAATGGGCTTACCAGGATTTTATTACTGCCCTTGATAGCTCTCTCATGTTTCAGTTTGGTGAAATACTATTTGTAGGTGGATAGAGGAAGACAGAAACCAGAGTCGTCTGTGATACTCATTTTCCTTTATAGTTCTTGGCCTGCCTCAAAACAGTTCTAAAGCAATAAGAGAATATAAATGGCCAAGAAAGAAATAAGAATGTCACTAAAGTGATATTATTCATTTATAGCTTTTCTTAATTTTTCTGCATACTGTAACCACTCAATTATTTGGCATGTATCATTAAATAAGAGATTTTTAGAGATAGGAGTACCTTTAGAGCTCTTCCATCCCATGTTTCACATTATAAAATGAGGGAAACTGAGTCACAGAAGCATGTCCAGGGTCTTATAGCTATTGAGGGGCTCCTAATCTAGTACTCTTTCTATGCCCAGTATCACATCAGTAATTCTGCTGCATTGATTTCCAACATTCTCACTGTTTCCAGAACACAGACTGACTCCCTTCAATGCCATAGCTATCTCAATGGGGAGAAGGAGTTGAAACATATCCCATTTTCACCTTTCATAATAAACACACAATTTGCAAATTAGCAAATAGAACGGTAGGTTCAATATTTGCTCTTGCCCAAGTTTTTTACTTGGTCCTCTGAACTGTGACCCCATAGGGGTGCCCAGCCTGTATTATAAGATGATCTAACTGGACAGCACAGTATTCTGTCTATCATGGCATCATGGAGGAAATCATTAACTGAATATTCTTGAGATCCCAAAAAACAGAATTCTGCACTTCCGAAGAGCCCAGAGATGACAGGAGGAAAAGACATGTTTCAGGCCTGAGGCAGAGATAACAAGTGCCTGAACAGTCTAATTAAGCCACGGGTTAGTTTGTTGCATCTAAAAATGTTAATGCGCCAGCTTAGCTAAGCAATTCCATATAGATACAGGTGAAGAGAAGCAGAAAAAGATTTATAGAACACTGTGAAAGAGATGCAAGCATGACCTCTTGTGGTAGAGGAGCTTATATGATGTGAAGGGTCCGAAAACCCTTGAGGTGGAGGTGGGGAGGTGAGTCTCCTGTTGGAAACTTGGGACTTACCTCTGGACACCCACCTCCCGCAAAGTATCTCTCTGGAGTTCAGTGCTCTGCCATTTGTAAACATGTATCATAACTTGGGGCGCCTGGGTGGCTCAGTCAGCAAAGCGTCTGCCTTTGGCTCAGGTCATGATCCCAGGGTCCTGGGATCGAGCCCCACGTCAGGCTCCCTGCTCAGTGGGTAGTCTGCTTCTCCCTCTGCACCAACTTATGCTTGCTTTCTCTCTCTCTCTCTCTCTCTCTCAAATAAATAAATAAAATCTTTAAAAAAACCCCACATGTCATAACTCATCAAAATTCCCTCTTATTAATAAATAGTAGACAAATGCCATTTGATATATGCCAGTTTGGCCAGTCTTATGGCTTCTCAAAGTCACGGTTTACAAAGCACGATATTTTTGATCCTTTTATTGAGTACCTCCTGGTGGGTCTTACTAATCTGGAGGAAAACATATTTTATTAAAATAGTAAGAAATAGGGAGATTGTCTAATATGTGTGCTATGAATTGAATTGGCAGATATGGTATTATTTGAAGCAGTAGAATCGGAAGAACAGATTTAGGTCAGGAAGAAGAGGATGTCTTCGTTGGCAAATACTTGGAGACACAAGAATGACATATGAATGATAAAGAGAAAAAGATTACAGTTTTGATATTCTTGTAAGTGAGAGAGAGGCAGGAGCTGAGGTGGTATTTGGAAGTAGCTTGAGTTGATATCAGAGGGTGAGATCATTCGGGTAAAGATTTGAGTTATGAATAAAGGGAAATGCACTGTTTTCCAGCTTGTGAACATCTTGTACATTGCATGCAGTTAAATGGTGAGTGAACTTTGCCTCCCCTTTTCTGCCGGTCATCATAGATGTTGGTGGGATGAAGCCCTAGAAGGGACAGAAGAGAAGAGTTAACACCTATCATGTGTTAAGTAGGCACATACATTAAATTTCATCTTCATAACAACCCTTCAGAATGAAGATCAATAATCTTCTTATAGGGGCGCCTGGGAGGCTCAGTTGGTTGGGCATTAGACTCTTGATTTCTGCTGAAGTCATATCTTGGGGTCCCAGGATGGGCCCCTCATTGAGCTCCACACTCAGCACAGAGTCTGCTTGTCCCTCTCCCTGTGCTCCTACTGCACCCCCCCCAGCTCTCTCTGTCACAAATAAATAAATAAAATCTTTAAAAATAATCTTTTTATTTTTTAAATTATTTTAAAGATTTTATTTATTTATTTGAAAGAGAGCATGCGCACAAGCTGGGAGAGGGGTAAAGAGAGAGGGAGAAGCACGCTCCCCGCTGAGCAGGGAGCCCGACACAGGGCTCCATCTCAGGACCCTGGGATCATGACCTGAGCTGAAGGCAGATGCTTAACCAATTGAGCCACCCAGGCGCCCCAGTAATCTTTTTATAGTTGAGGGAATTGGGACTCTGAGAGGCTGGTCAGTTTGCCAAACACAGCACAGGTAATTAGAGGAGGTACTGAAATTCAAAGTAAAATGGGGCTGATTTTAATGTCACATTGTTCGTTTACTTCTAACACACCCCAAGCTGATTCCTTCTGCCTTGCCCACTTGTGTCATATATCACCCTTGAAGTCTGTCCTCCGAGGAAACTGTCGCAGACACTCTGAATGTTTTCAAACAGCAGTTCCACTCCTGATTTTATCAGCAGCAACAGTTCTTCTAAATAATAATCTTCCAGAGCGACAGTGTCTCCTCACAGACATATGTCAGTTCTCTTAAGTTCCTTCATCTCTTATTGTACTGGCCACATTTAGAAGAGATATTTTTGTGATATACATATGGAACAACATTTTTTTTAAGGGATATTTCAGTAGTTCAAATGCATCTTTATTTTCAGAGAGTACCCCCTTTTTTACTGAGCTATAATTGACATACAACATTA